TTTTAGCTTTCTGTCTTTAAAAACTTATCTACAAGTTAACAAAACACACTGCTGACTAGTTGGACACCTCTGTAAATTAGAAAGCAAAATTAACAAAGTTAATTTCAAATTAATAATAGAGGGTAACAATTTAAAAAGTGAATTGTAAATTAAACTTTGGTTATAAAGGAGACAGAAATATTAATTACATGATTAAGATTAAAGAGAAAAGAAAGCCACTTCATAATGCCTTATGCATATGAATCACATTAACTTTTTCAGCCATTTTGAACTGCCAGGATCACACTGGAATTATTTTTTATTTAAAGCAGCTTGAACAATGAACCATAAGAGATCAGTCCAGTGTACTGCTGTAATACATTAATTCAATCCCAATTTTGAAGGAAGTCAGGTCTATGGTAGGTCTGAGAAGAGGAGACAAGAGAACAGATTTGATGTTTCAGGAGCAGTCAAAGACTTGCTATACATCTGTCATGAATGATTCAATGGCTTTTGGGTGTAGCCATTTCAATGGCTTAATTTGGGTTCTTGCAAAACTTTAATTTATAAACCAGCGACTTCAATGCTACGGCAGCAGTTTCCTTGGGTTTAAAATAACGAACATACTGATTCCTGAACTAAATCTCTTACATTTGTGCACATTTACTGTACTGACACGTTCTGAAATTACTTTTTTTCTGGTGGGATCTAAAGCAAGTCCACTTCAAGACTTCAATTTTAAATACAGTACCCAATTTTTCAGTGCAGACAACAAATTTCCAGGGTCATCTGGCGTACCCCCGGGGGGCGCTGTGTTTGAAAACCACTGCTCTAGAAACTGCTACAGCTCAACTTTGCATTCAAACTTTCCCCTTGAAGTTAAAGGGAACTTTAAATTTACTTTAATCTCAGCATTTTTAAAATTCCGAATTAAGCACTAAATTGTGAACTTTGCGAAAGTACCGTATGGTCGGCATACTCGCTGCTGCAAACTCCTGGTATCACCCATAGGCGAGAGCGAGAGTTCACGCGAATTCTGACGTGAGGTGGCTCTTCCTGCTCGTTAACGGAATGTACGAGTGAAAAAGCACAGGTTGTGCAGCAGACATTTCACCGCAGAAACGTGATCTGCATGTGGAGTTAACGCATAAGATGCTGGCAAAACCGTCTCGAAATCAAGAGCAATATTTCTACTGGATTAAAAGAGATGTATTCACAAGCCTGTTTGTTTACAATTTAATATGTCCACTTCACGTGACCGAAGCTCTGTTGCCTCGTTCTGAATCGCAGACTATAACGCCGCGCATATCTGGAAATTGTATCTGTTTTGTGGCGTAAACTGTAAATTTTTCACGTTATCGTGTAAATGTTACTTTCACTGTGGCTTGAAATTAACTCTTCAATGCCGATTCTTTCTAACTCCGAAATACAAAGACAGTTTTATAATCCCTCTTTAAGAAACAGATTCCCAGGCTTCATTGCAGTTACTGGAAACGACAACAATAAACATTACCCAAGAAAACATCTGTAAAACGGTGTAGCCTTTATATTGAAAACCTTATTGAATGGAATTCTATTTCATTTTCAACCGTTTCCGATTAAATTAAATTTTATCTAAGTTATACTTGAAAGTCACATTCGCAATTTAACTAGCAAAACTTCAAATGAGGTGATGCTACACAAGAGAAATTGAAATATTTAAAAGTAAATGCACGATCAATGAAGGCGATCCCTTAGAGAAAAGAAAAGTTGATTTTGAAGACCTGGTTAAGGATTTTAAATAAGTGATTCACAAAATATTAAAACACTAATTCTAACAGGAGTACATTCTCTTTATTATATAGTTAATAGCAATACCCATCTTTAAACAGTACAAGAGCAAAACCTATATCTTACCATTATTTTTGTGAACGACAACTACATTTCTAATGAGGTATATTCTTAGATGTACATATATTAATATTGCGATAAGAACATTTATTTCATTTTGCATTTAATCATTTAAGTAATACTGAAAAGCTGTAAACATTCCAGGAACTACTGTTTTATACAACTCTTTGAAAAATTTAATATTTACTGAAGGTTTCATCAGTTCTGGGATTTGTGTGTGTGTGTGTGTTTTCCTTTATCTACACAACATCTGTAAAAAATCATTCAAAGTGGCTCACTAAAACTCTTGACCTTCAATGGTTTTCTAACCTTTAACTTACTTTTTGTTCCGACATTTTGAAGTGTACACTTTAAGAATACAGTGCTTACTTATCCAATACAAGATATACCAAGGAAGGTCAAAGAAACAAAATATCATTAGGTACAATCTGGCAAAATAAAACAAAAAAGATTTTATGGAATGTTTATAGGCATTGTTTTCTAGCATGAAGATTTTACATTTTTGCTGAAGCCTTCCTGGAAAGTATTATCTGGTAATTCTTGGAAAACGTGCAAGTAAATGTGTCACAAGAGAAACAGAACAGTTTAAAATGCTACTTCACAAATATGTGGTGTAATATGGCAAAACTGATGCAAAAGTCCCATGACACTTGTTGGGAATAGGAACTGTTATATGTATCAGTGAATATTATTCACAGCTAAGTGATAAGTCAGTTGGAAGACAGTCTTTAATACAAAGTAATAAAGCTCAATTCCTTCTCTTATTTGTCTCTTTAAAGGCTCATTTTACAGAAGTTAGAAGCTGTTCTCTCATGTTGGTTTGTCTGGGTTTGCATGGCTCAGAAATACAAGCAGCATATTAAGCCCAGAGAGCTTTATTTACAAGCCTGTTTGCATTCCTCATAATTCCTGTACTACAGAAAACCTGTTTGGTTCAAGGTGGCTTCTACAGTCAAACATGGGGTCACATTGGCCAATTTTCAGGCAGACCGTCAGTACAGACCAGGGACAACCATGTACATGTACATATTGTGCCCCATTTTCAAAGCTATTTCTCAGCTAAAGTTGAGCTGGCTGGTCTGGCCAGGGCGTACTTAAACGTGTCCACCATTCTTTTCTCAGCTGTAGCTGGATGTGGTTCAATTTCACTGCGTAGGTTCATTGGACATATTTGCAGATGTGTGAAATAAACAAGCGGGATAGGTTTTCTCTCTTACATCCTCTAATCTTGCCACCTGGAGAACTAAATTCTACCAGTCCTACTGCTCTATAATTTTTTTTTTGAAAAACGGGAGTCTATTGGGAATGATAATCCAAAGGCGTACTTAAATGTGTCCACCATTCTTTTCTCAGCTGTAGCTGGATGTGGTTCAATTTCACTGCGTAGGTTCATTGGACAAATTTGCAGATGTGTGGTTTTCTCTCTTACATCCTCTAACCTTGCCACCTGGAGAACTAAATTCTACCAGTCCTACTGCTCTATAATTTTTTTTAGAAAAATGGGAGTCTATTGGGATAGATAATGCAAAATTTTGTTGACGTAATCTTCCCCAATGGACTCCAACTGCTCTTCAAGCACCAGAGGAGCCGGAAGCAACACGGATATAGATTAATTCAGTTATTCCAGGAACCCAGCAAAAGTATTAACTATGGGATAATAAAATAACAATGTAAATATTCATTAATGTGAATGAAACCACCTGAATGATACTTTCAAACTTACTTCTCGGTCTTAAGGTGCATAAGGTAAAGAGTACCAGATAATTAGCTGTTATTCCAAAAGTTATTTTGTATGACCTAAATTCCCATAAAGCTGAATAAAGTGCAACATAACCCTGGCAGTTAATGCAATAATCAAGACAGGAAACAAACAGAATAAAGTCAATTAGAAAAATACAAGACTTTTGAACATTTTAGGCAAATGTGAGGTTTTTTAAAAATTTCACTTAACCTCTATAGAGAGCAATTTTAAAACACTTTTTGGAGAATATGTAATAAAAATACAAGACTTTTGAACATTTTAGGCAAATGTGAGGTTTTTTTAAAATTTCACTTAACCTCTATAGGGAGCAATTTTAAAACACTTTTTGGAGAATATTTTTGGGGGGTTTTGTAAGTTTTCATTTGTCACATGATTTAACAGGAATGTAAACACCTAAATGTGGAGGTTTATTTTTGGGTCTCTGGGCATTAATGAATAATTTAATAGCCATTTATTAAAACAAACTATAGCTTAATTGACACGGGGAGAGGCTGACATCAGAAAGGCTGACTCAGTGCTTCAATTAAAATCAGATGTTGAAAAAATACTGAAAAGTAGAAACAGAAAAGCACTAAAGGAAGTACAACAGGCCAATTGCAATAACACAATCCTTTTCAGTAGCAAGCTTTAGATTATACAAGACTGAGGAACTGTGTTTTATTTTGAATACAACTTTAGCCATTTTGTGGGTAAAATATCCACATTTCCTTATAAACAGCCTACACATATACCATACACTTAAGCATGTATTTATAGTATCCAAATGTATACAGACATCTGAGCAAAACATGAATCATTCAGGTGACAATGTATATCCTGCTCAGTCTGAAAGTCTTTGACTTAAATACCATCAAATCTTACTGCATCTTTCTCCATTTTCATGGCAAAACCCTTTTTGGTTACAACCAAGAATTGAAATTGCAGTTGAAAAATCTGTGAGTTTAAAGAGAAACCCGGATGGGGGTAGTGCACCTATAGTATAATACACAGAAACTTAGGTGCACATTTCACATCATTCATGTTTGAAAAGAATTCCTTCCAATTAGTCTTTTTTCTTGAAGAAAAGAGCATTTATTTCCTTCACAACTGCTTAAATCTAGGTTATAGTGCCGCGAAAAGTTATAACTGAAATGAAGGCAAATATTAAGCTTAAAAAAAATCTTGTAACGTAAAACTGAGGCAGCTAGACAAATGCTTGCACTTTTCAAAGCTGCAACATGCATAAGCAACAGTCAAACAGCAGCAGCAAAATACATAAGCTAGCTAGGATTTTGCATCAGGGATTATACACAAGGAAGAGGGGGTAGATGCAGGGTTTCACAGTCATGCTAGTACAGGAACAGGACATGATTGCTATGGAAGGTCTTACCTCTGACTTCTCCATTTTGTTTTGGGCATCAACCTGTGTAACAATTTCATTCATATTCGTCTCCAGTACCATTCCTCCCATCACCATCTCAGCCAGGATGTTGTGAACCTGATAAACACAAAAGTAAATACAAAGAAATCAACATTCACTACATAATTCACTGTCATATTTGGCCAGCAGCCAAATCACCCTGCAACTCACAATTGGCAGCCCACTGAAGCTCAGCAGGTGTGAGCCTGGTCAGTACCTGGATGTGAGACCTCCTGGGAAAAACTAAAGGTTGCTGCCGGAAGAGGTGTTAGTGGGGCCAGAGGGGGCGCTCACCCTGTGGCCTGTGTGGGTCCCAATGTCCCAGTATCGTGATGGGGACAATATACTGTAAAAAAGCGCCGTCCTTCGGATGAGACATAAAACCGAGGTCCTGACTCTCTGTGGTCATTAAAAATCCCAGGACGTTTCTCGAAAAGAGTAGGGGTGTAACCTCGGCATCCTAGCTAAATTTCCCATTGGCCTTTACCAATCATCACCTCCTAATAATCCCCATCTATGAACTGGCTTCATCACTCTGTTCTCCTCACTGATAGCTGGTGTGTGGTGAGCGTTCTGGCATACTACGGCTGCCGTCACATCATCCAGGTGGGGGCTGCACATTGTTGGTGGTGGAGGGCAGTCCCCATTGCCTGTAAATCGCTTTGAGTAGAGTGTCCAGAAAAGTGCTTTATAAGTGTAAGCAATTATTATTCCCAGAAGCCAATTAACCTACCAGTATGAATTGATCCCCTTGTAAAAGTTGAATAAAAAGATTATTTTTAGTTCACGTGTATACCATCAATTCATTCATTTTCTAATTGCTGGTTCCAATTCAGGCTTGGGTGGGAGCTAAAAAGCCTTTCTCACAAAGCAGGGTACACAACTCACACCAGGGCCAAATGTTCCTAGAAGCCAATTAACCAGTTCATCCAATTCAGGGGGAGCCCGAGCCTATCCCAGCAAGCAATGGGCGCAAGGTAGTAAGCACCCTGGATGGGAGACCATTCCATTGCAGGGCACACACAGACACAGGCACATACACACTCACGGCTGATCCAATTATCTACAGTACCAGTAGTAGGAAACTGGAACACCTAGAGGAAACCCACGTGAGCAAGGGGAGCACACAAACTCCAGGCAGATAAGACGCCAAGTCCGGAATTGAACCCAAGGCCTCAGTGCTGCAAAGTTAACCACAGAGCTACTCCATATTTTAATATCCTATTTATATTTTAAAAAGCCCTACAAATCAATTGGAAATAAGTATGATGCTAATGAATTCTGTGTAGTAGTCATTTCCAAGGAATCATCAACCGGTACGTCCAATAGATTATCTGCCCTGATCTGTAGTTCTTTTGGTTATGTCCTTGCACATAAATCCTTGTAGCTATACATCATTGAATAGTTTATCAGTCATTAGTAAGACCACCTTTGAAAAGTCTAACATTGCCAACACAAAAAGCTACACTGTCATGCTAACCCTTTTAATAAACAATGTTTTTCAGATGCATTTAAGTCTGTGTGCCGCTCCTCCAGTTGGTGAAAAGCCTGCGATAATGAAGTGTGGAGCTTGCAACACACTGATGCCTCTGTCAGTCTCTGACAGATTCTGACAAAACATGTCAGTGGATCAGATCTGTGGGTTCTCATGCTCTCTGTGCAGCACAGTCGCAGCTGACATGCTGCCACTGTCAGCAAGCTAAGAGAGGCTACAAACAAGAGGAGGGCAATTCAGCCCATCTAGCTAAAAGAGAGACTTGATCTGGAATTCAGCCCAGGCCAAAGCAGTGAGTGTGCCTAATCCTAACCCTAGACTTTCACAGAGTGCAGTCTAGCAACATACACAAGACGTAATGGCGAATATACTGTAAAAATGGGTATGCACACTATAAATGAGGGATTTTAGAACCTCTCCCACTATCATGTTTGAAACCGATTAATCAATTAGCATTGCAGAATTAATCATTATTAATCAGTTAATATCTTGAAGTCTTCAGTGACATAGGAAATCTATATGCATCGCTTTTGCTACAGATAGCTGTGATATTGGCTGAACCTTGTCGTTTGTATGACAAGTCATTTTATACTCTGTACTAAAAAGTACAGAGTGACAACAGGGTTTCAAAACTACAAGGGCATTCAGAACAACATCGGCTTAAAATTAATAAAACATGAGATGTTAATTACCAAATCACTCCAAAAACAACAAACTATTTTGTCATGTATGAATAAATTTCCAAAGAAAAACAAGATATTTTCGCATGCCTGCAGAGCAATAGGAAATACCAACATTCATCTAGGGATTTCGTAAAAATAGTGTCTTTGTACAGCTTTTGAACAATGTTGTTATTTGTAACACACATGACTGGAGAGTGCAGTTGAGTAATCCCGGAAACTGGTGCATATTTGTTCAAGATGGTACATAGTTTAGAAAATAGTAGGTAGCCTGGGGCTATGAAAATTTGGCCCTCAAATCCTGGGAAAAATTTTGTGATCCATTTCATTTAATCGGGGATATTAAAAAGTTTTTAAAAGCTGACATGCCCCCAGGCTGGGTACTGTCAACAAGGGGAAAAGTCAGTATTTTGTTGTAGATGTGTTCCAGATGCTGCTGTAATGAGCCATTATGAATTCAAAAGTTTTCTTTACCAAAAAATACAGTAAACACTGCATATCAAACAGTGAAGCAGTGATCCTACATGGTCATGGAGTTTTTTTTTTACTTGCTTGTTTTTTTTGGCCTTCACCCCAAATCTTAAGTAATTCTGAAGAATATCGAGAACAGCCCCATTTCTTGAAATGCAGAGGTAAAGAGAAGCCAACAAGCAGTGTTTATTTTTTGTACATCTCAAAAGATATACGAGGTGTGATGGAGGTACCAGAGCTCTTAATCATCAGTTGTGCTTAACATCAACCATTAATCAGTCATTTCAGACATCATAATCATATGCTATTAGGCCCACTGTATTTCTGAAACAATTCTACTGTCAGCACGTCCATAGTGTTTCAGAATCTGAAAGTATGATCTCCCACTAATCCCATACTGTACTGTATATGGGGCAGGTCCCAGAGCAGTGAATGCTACAGAAATGACATCACACTAATAAACCTAGGAGGCGCCTAATCCTGCTGCTACAGAAGATTAATTTCTGACTTAGAAGAGTTCTCTGCTGTCTAGGGTGTAGTGCACTGTGGCTCTGAGCCCCGTGACAGAATCCTAGCAGGGGCAAGAGCTACAGTACATGTGTTACAGTACATACATGTATATATAGCCTGTGGGTAACCAAATCGACAAATGCTATTTTAAGTGTAAAATTCTCATCTTTTTTTCCCACAAAACCATGATTTAAACATATTTTTGGTTTTACGCCTACAATGGGGCATATACTGTTTTGAGGAATACGGCCTATCATGCCAACTGTTCCTGCAAGAACTGCTGGGTCAACTGACTCTGTAAAATGTAAAGTGCCATTTCCGTTACGATACATTTCAGCTATTTTGATATGGGCTTCCTGTGCAAATGAACAGTGCTGCATGGATCCCTTTTGTTTCTGGTAAGCGATTGGCCAATTAACTTTAAACATACTAAGCTCAGACATGATAAGAAGCCTCCAAAACTGCTCGCAGCTTTCTTATTTTATAAGAAATCAATGTCTTTTTTCTCCTATTTTTAAATTAAGATAGTATATCACTAGAAATTTTGCAAAATACTCTATTGGACTTATATGCTATACATTTACAGCCTCTAAATGGAAATAATACCAGTTAGAATTTCCTGATTGGAAAAACAATTGGCACAAACTGAAGCCTCTTTCGTACTGAAAATAGAAAGGGTAAAAATTGTCCCCTCAACCTAGTCCATTTAATAGAAAGCAAACTGTAGACTGTTGCTCAGTAGCTCAGACGTCAACCTTCTGCTCCTTACTCTACTGTAAAAAAAAGCAGTTGCAAAACATGAAGTTTAAGACCAGTCTGAGTGTGTTTAATATGGGCATAACAGTATCGGAATTAATAAAGCACCCATCTCAAATATATAAAAATATATTGGCACCACAACTGACATCACTTACATTTAAAGCATTTTACAAATCACAAATCCCAAGTTATTAAGATAACTGAACGTCTTAATATGTGATATATTTTTCAAACATTTAAGAAAAAAGCAGAATCAAAAGTTAAAAACAAAATGAAATGCTTTGTTTAACTTTAGTTTCATATCCGTAAACTATTCTATTCTGGACTAAAACAACTAAGTCTCAATGAAGTGGACAGCTTTTTAAAGAGCAAGAGTTAATGACTGCAACCACTCTGGAAATAAATAAGCTACATGGGAATTAATTTTAGGCATTTTTACTTGGACCATTTTCATTTAGAAAGCTTATTTGTTTGGGAGGAACAATTACACAAAGCTTTTCCATTCTGAAATTTCATAGTAATTAGTGAGATCAGCTGCATGCCAGGAATTTTGTTCATGTTTCACTAATTCAAAAGATCTTTCCCTCAGAGACATAATCAATCTTTTCTGCATTAATTCCAAATAAGAGCATCTTTTTTCACATGCAATAAGCTGTAACAAAAGAGCACTGTATTACCTTGTCAACGTGGAAAATTAAATCCAGCTCACAGACGTTCTCAAAACATTTGTCAAGTGTTTCTACAAATACCTGTGGATAGACATACGAGGTTAGTTTTCTGAAAGAAAAGAATGACAACTGTAGCAAAATGTCACCAATAAAGCAAAATATAATCTTAAAATAAGCTAATTTAATCTACAAAGGTCTACCAAGCATCAGTAGGAATACAATCCTCACTGACTGGCCCCAGGAAGCCAAGGAAAGCAAAAACAGAGCACATTGCTTTAACAAATGAGCGGTACATTCAGCATAAGATAAAAAAACAAATGTATTGTGCTCTGCAGTGATGAAATGACAAGGCAGGTAGACTTCATGCATAGAGTAATTAGTCACATTATTCAAATATAAATATATTTACATTTAAAATTAGCTATACAGTATACATATATATACCACATTTAAAATACATTGGCCTTTATTTGGGGTATTAAATTATAACTGTGCTCAATTAAATAAAAAAAAGCAAGACACAAATGGACAAATCCCCATACAGCTCTGAAACGGTCCTAAAGATATTACATCAATGTTGGACACACAAGTCAATCGAGATTAAAGCACCTTCACTGAAACACTTTTTGTCCACATCGTGAAAATATTCAAAACAGTAAGGTCTCGAGATTCAGTCTGGCTGACGGGGTCTTGAATGGAAGCAGAGCAGAGTGGGATGAAACCGAGCCGAAGGCTGTTAACAGATTAGGATAGTGAGATGAATCTAGCTTTGGAGAAGCCTCTCCCTGCACCCTGCCCGAGAACCCACTACCCAGCATCTGCACCTAAGCGTGGTCTTGTATATTGTAATGCACACTCCAGGTTTTGTGTCTGCAGTGTGGGGCATGGCATGCTGGAGACAACTTTACGAGCTCACTTACAGTTTTATTGCCCTTTTCACAGTTCACACAGTGAGGCATGCTAGTCCCAAAGGCAGAGAGAAGAAGTACAGGGTGGACACAGAGAACTGATTACTGTTCTTTCTTTTAGTTGAGCAGTGCTATTTAATTTAAAGCCAATGCAGTAGGACTTTAATTATCATATAAGGGTGGGTTAACTTTGTATTTTAAACATACAGTACACACTATATACTGCAGTATAACATGTAACGATATGCGGGTGGACTTGGGTAAATGCGACTTTGGTTATTTGTGACTGTTCTCTGTACCGAACCATCATGAATGTCGAGACCCTACTGTACTGGAATTTTTACATCAATTAAAAATAGATACAGCTTTTTTCTTCAGCTTTTTTCCTGGTACTTCTTACCTTCTCAAAACGATATTTAGGCTCAATAACACTAGGTATCTTTTTCCTTGGGTTAAAGGAATATAATGCTGTTTCTTTAAAAGAGCTCTGAAATTAAAAACTGTTCTCTGTACTGTGTTTGCACCCTTCCCAGATGCACTCAATGGTGATACTGAACAGGAAACAAAGCCATATTAAGGTTTTAAAGAGGAATCCCCCCCAGTAACTTTGTGCTGAAAAACCTAAAATATCAAGTTGTGAAGATACTATGTAATAAGAAAAAAAAATTAAGGTCTTGTAAGGAGAATTTAAATTAGCCAGAGAGGAGAATTAACAATTTTGATAATGTGGTATTATTTTCCAAAAGACAGCTTTTTCCTTCAGAAATGTTTCTGTGGTTTATGATAAATTCTAATAAAACAACAGTCGCAGTGTCAAGTATCCTTCAGAGCACCACAAATGATTTACCAGACTTAAAACGAATTTACCCTGATATTCCAAGAAACCTTTGTGCGTGGAATGGAAACATCTAATACAATACTCTGCCATATTTGGTCAAAATCCTCACTGAGCAAAGTCCACCCAGTGGATTTCTTCAGAATATACAGTGAAACGCAAGCGATCACTACATGAAAGTGGGTTAAAACCAAGAACAGGTGGCTCTTATTTACACAAAGAGATGTGGCAGCATGGAACAAACTGCCCGGCCATGTTGTTGAAGGCGATATTCTGACTTCTTGGATCAATTAACTACTAACTAAAAAATGGACAAGATATTTCCCCTTTCTAAGTGACAACTTGGTATACAAATGTATGTTATGTATTTTCAAGAGGAAAGATGGCTAGGCAACAGTAGTACAAAAACCATCCCAATGAGACAAAAAAAACACCTCTGAGCTTTAATGAGAATACAAGCACTTACTAACACTTAAATTGTTACTTATAAAAGTACTATTTTACATTCTATCCTGGGTAAGTTCCACATGACTGGTTAGACTGCTTTGGTTTGTTTGTTTGTCTAGTTTAGCAATAGACTGATAAAAGGGTAGTGTGCACACAGTTCCCTCTGCTGGAACCTCTTCACACAGACAACCAGCTGCCCCAGTGCAAAAACAACTGGAAAATAAACAAGGCGTCTAGCGATTCACACAGAATAATAATTAACCAATCTACTAATGCATATTTAAACAGAAAATGTTGATTACTTGAATTCTATGGGCTATATCTAATGCATCTATGCATGGTAATGGACACCTGCACAACATTCCCAAGAAACAGTACTGCAACTACAATTTGGGTAATTTTACAGATTATTTCCACCTCAGCAACAGAATTTCCATGACACAAACATGCTGACTACATGGAAAATGTAATTGCCGAATAAAGGACATTCCTGAATTCTAAAACAATCTTTACCTACAGGGTCTCTGAATGTTGTTTGGACCCCTTTTACTTTTACTTCATTAGTAAAAAGGATATTTAGATAATTAGTTTGAACACCTCTGTATATGTTCCTCTGTATAGATCCATGAAGCTATAAAGCTATAAACTAAACAGTATTAAACTATTAAGCTATAAACCTCTATAGGAAAAATCAAAATGGCTAAAATTTCAGCACAACATACCCACAGAAATGCGTTTCTGCGTAAAGGAGGAAAAACACTGAGCATCCAGTGGTGAATAATGGAAAACGTCTCATGGCAGTGTGCATAACCCAGAGCTTTTGATTAGGTTGCATATTAAAACATATCCCGTGGGTTAGAAGAGGAAGTCACGGCATGTTTCGGAATAAAGCCAGATATTAAGTAAGCCACTGCATGTTGTGGAATAAAGACAGATATTTAGTAAGCGGGCTGAGCCAGACAGATAAACTGGGTGATGAAGACACTCCCACTCTACACAACTTCCCCATGGCAATGAAATTTGGCATTGGCAATGTCACCATGAGTGAAGGCAGAAATATACATAAATGTTCAGATGACCAGAAACACACAGGAAGATAAACAGATGGTATCAATAGATTTCCTGCCTTTAAACGTTTTAAATAGCATTCGCTTTAAATGGTCATTTATAAGCTACACAAGGCTGGGCAATCCTGGTTCTGGGACGGGAGACTTTCAAGGAAATCAGGTTGCTGTTGCAAGTGCTGTTGGTGGAAAAGAAGGTAGCACCGCTCCTCCAGAACAGGTTTCCAAACCCTGTCCCCATATGGTGAATGGGGAAATCACTGGTACAGTGGATCGAGTGAGACAAAGATCTCTTCAAAAGAGCAGGGGTATTAACCACTAAAAATCCACCCTGGGCTTGAAATATCTGACCCAGTTCCAGATCCCACTTATTTTGATTGCTAACATATTCGGTCTTCTCCATTTGATCGGCTGTGAGACTGCTGGCATATGACGGTTGCTGTATTTCTGTACTGGATATACATGTTAAGTGTTTTGGGATTCTTTGAGATGAAAAGCACTACATAAATGTGATTTATTATGATTCATGTTAATAAACGACCTCTTGAAAAAACAGAAGGTGGGAAAGGATTTGCCACTGCTCATTTAAGGTGTGGTCCTGCCCCCTGGTGGTGCAAAGAATTATTGCATCTCAAAATCCTGAGACAATAATTAAATGATCTTGGCGCAGGCAAGCCTGACAATAGTTTCCAGAAGACGACAAATAGTAAAAAAACAAATGTTCACATGAAGATTTTTTATATGCTTGCTCACTGCTATTAATAGTAAACAAAAATCATATACAGATAGTACACACGGAGCAATTACTGGAACAAGTGAATCTTACTGTATCTGTAATAGTGCTGATACTGAGCAGAGGAGTATTCATATTTCATGTGCTCCTTTCATCTCTTAATAAATATTTCATTGCATATAGACAGGTCCTGTTTCAAGTCACACTACAACTGCTGTGTCTCCCTCAGCTAATTAGCACAGAGTCATCTGTGTGTTTCATTGACAACAAGTTATACACACTGACACAGAAATAGCCACACTGTTGTATTTTAAATTCTGTGCCAGAAAAACCTTTAAATCAGGTTGTTACAACAGAAAGTCAGATTATTCACACAAACAGACAGATAATCTACAGGTCAGGATTAGAAATACAAGGAAACTATCAAAGAAGCTTTTATTTTTAGAAGAACTACAATTATACTTCAAAATTCATTAAAGAAAACTGTTCAAACAGTTCAATAGCACTGTAAAGTAATGTCAGTTTAGAACACACACATAAAGCAGTGGTATTTCAGTGCTTTCCCTCATTTTTACAGGAGCAGCATATATGGTAACAGTGAAATTACATACACAACTTTATATTATTTTACATTATTACATTGTTTTTAGAAACTACAACTGACTAGTTAAGGTAACATTACATACCTGTATCAGGTCCAAGATACCCAATTCACTTTCTGATGAATCCACACAAAACACAAAATAGAGTGTAGCATAATGTCTATAAATAAGCTTGTTGTCTGATCCTCCGATCAACCTAAAATGACACACAAATAAACAGTGTTACTGCTTTTGGGAACATACCTGCATTATTACAGCTTCAAAGGACTGAGTGTTTCATGTAGCAAGGGTGTATATTGAATAAAGTTAGGAAGAACACCAGCTGAGGCTGAAAAGTGACAATAAAGCAATGATGCACAACTCCAGTCCTGGTGGAATACAGGTATTCTAGGGGATACATAACAGGCTTAGAAATGTACAGTAGGTCTTGTATAACAAACATGCAAGAGTTCTTCAAAACAACAGCAGCTTTTCCATAGAAAGCTGCCCCATAATCCGCAGTGGATACAAATTTGCTTGTGACATATTTAGGATTTTACAGATTATTTTTTATGTTCAACATAAAATAATTTTCAAACTACACGTGGTTGTGTATTCGAGGTAATTAGTTGACTGTTCATCAATGGATAGTAGAAATAGAGGTAAATGCTCTAAATGGGGCGATGTAATTAGTAACAGAAATCTATGTATGCACCAGAACTCCTTCTACGATATAGCTGAGATCTCAGTTCAGGTACAGTTAGTAAAGTAGCTCTTGACAGCAGATGATAAAACTGGAAAATCCCATTTTAAAAGAAACGTTCCAATCAGAACTACAGGCCATTAGTGCTGCTCTGCACTGCTCCAACAACTCCCTGTTTAATACAATGACAATGTAAAAGCCATGCATTACATGTTATAAATTCGCTGCTCACCCATCCAAAATCTTGGTCATTAACAATCCTTTTGTCACAACGTTTTAAAAAAGTGACCTCTAACAAGGCTCATCTGCATTGTGGTTTCAATAAAACGGTGTTGATTGCTTGGACCTATACTATATATCACCATACTGGCACCCTTGGAAAAAAACAGGCTTTGGCTTGCCTTAGGACTAAGGCATTTACAGGGGGTGGACAAAATAATGGAGACACTTAATGAAAAATAACCTGTACTGTATTTTAAAGTAACTAAATCCATTTTAAATTAAATTGATTTTTATACTATTTACCAATAGGCTTCCACTATAAAAGACATCTTATAATCAACACTTTAATGTGCGAGTTTCTAAAGCAACATGAGAGGGCTAATAGATTATGAAATAGGTAAAATAGTTGGTGCCGGACTTGCAGGCACGTCAGTTACTGAAATGGCAAAATTATTTAATGTGCCAAGGGTAACAGTGTTGAAAAGCATAACGGTATATGCCAAACAAGTGAAAACAGCACTTAGAGGAACAGTGGTCAAAAGTAAAAGCTTGCTGAAATGGAAAGATGAACGTTAAGTTAGTTGCTAGAAACCACAAAGGAAAGGCCTCAAAAATTACCATAGAGTTCAATGTAGACCTCTGTGACCCAGCAAAACTGTACAAAAAGAGCTTAGCAAAGTTGATATTTATAGTAGGGCTGCCATTCAGAAAGCACAAAATGGTGTAATGAGCACAAAACCCGGACTTCTGAGCAGTGGAAGAAAGTAATGTATTTGGAGGGGATTAAATAAGGCTGTAAGGTTGGAATAAGAGACCAAGGAATAGGAAACCATTTTAGGTAACCAGGTTCACCCAATGCACAAACATTGTTTCTTCAAGATGTTTCCATATTCGAGGAGGATAACTGCGTACATTCAAAATAACAAAATAACTAATGGACAATGATTCGGGAGACCAAAGTGCCAAAGTAAATACTTGAAGCTGGAAATAAAAGTCAAACTGTGTGTATCCACTAGAATCAGACTACGGGTGATCCACTAGTCCTGGGGTGGAAAATGTATGTCACACACGCCATGAGTGGCACAAAACCATTTGGAGAGGCTTACGCAATGAAAGTGTACAGTACTTCATGGCAAAGAAAGAAAAGTGGCAAAAAACTTTCCATCTTTAAATTACACTAAGCCAACAAAGTTATCTGAGGTGGAAAGAAAACAAATGATGAGCTCATTTACAATATTACTTTTAGAAGGGCAACCTTGCTTCACTGGGAAGCGCTGGTCTGATGTTATCTGAACTGATCACTTTTTTATAGTTAACATTTCAGACACAATATACCGTAAGGAAGCTAGATTCAGCACTTTTGGACAGGTGATTCGTTCGGCATAAAGGCCAGGCATCAAGAAAAGTGTTTGCTACACATCCAACAACATTTTCAGACAGAAGCATGAGAATTATTTCAAGGATGAGGCCGGAAGGGCTAAGTCAAGTCATTCAATCTGAGATACAGAAGGTCAAGCAATGTCTTTACAAAGTTTTACAGAGAGAAGTTACAAAGTCACACAATGTGTTGCAAAAGGAATTTACAGATGGGTAATATATATAAGAGGATTTTCTATGGTTTGGGTGTTCTGTTCAATCATTTGACCAAGAAAGACACAGTCATCACCAGAATAAAAACCCGCCAGATGAAGTAGGAAAATGCATTATTTAAATGGCAAAAAACTTTGCATCTTTTGATGTCACCATCTGTTTCTGTAGAGATACTTAGTGTAGCACTTGGTAAGTGTGTAGTTTAGTATGGTTAGCAATTCTTGCAAGATAATACGACTCAGACAAAGTTCAAAGGTATCGAAAAGAGATATGCCGCCTAAAACCCATACGTACATGGAACATTAACAGGGGAAGATGCAGCACAGACGTTTGTTAATCATCTGAAGGAAAGAAGAATTCATATGGGAAAAATATTTTCTGTGACAGCTGAATTTGCCTCTGCTATGGTCAGTAAACTGTAGGGATTTGTAAAGATCACTGAAGATCAAATTGGCCACCCACTGGTACTTGGAATGTCGGAACTTTTCACTATTACAAATTCACGAACTTATCAGGAAAATGTTTTTCTCTGGTTCTTTCTGCTAGAAGGAAGATGGAGAGAAAGCTTTTCTGTAGCAGATTAAGTGACATTTGCTATGTAGTAACATTTTATTGACACGTGAAGTACTGTATGTAAATTCATTATACTGATTAATACTTGTCAACAGAGTCGAACAAGCAATCTACTGTTAAAGTCCCTGGCCTTTGTAGTGCTGTGTGGGGCTACCGTTAGAAGCATAAAAGCTGTACATCTGTGAAATGCTTTGCACTCCGTTGCAGATGCTGTCTTGTGGGCTTCTATCCTATTCCTCATGTAAAGCCCTATTCCTCTTGTACAGCATGTGACTATTCTGACTCTAGATGGCAGATATCGTCTCAGCTCATCCAACAAATATTTGTTGGGGCTCAATCTGACAAAGAGGGCACTGATAGCAAAACTGTTGCTTTCTACAAAAAGTATTTCAGTGCAAGGTTGTAAAACTAGATGGCACAGTGGAGCAGTGGCTAGCATTGCTGTCTCGCAGCACTGGGGAAAACTGAGCCTTGAGCAAGCGCAAGCGTATCTGTGTCTGTGTATGTGGACTGGCCCAGGGTCTCCTTGTGCATGTTGCTTGCTGAATTAGGCGCTGGCTCCCCTGCAACCCGGAATAGGATGAAGAGGTTAGAAAAAGGATGGATAGGTTAGTGTTGAACAAATCTACTATGGTGGGCGTGATTTAATTTTAATGTACTTTAAGTGCATAAGAGCAAGCATATTAGTTCAGGTGGGTAGCTGCGTCAGCATGCGTAGGCTGCAAAGGAACAAGTAATAGGTTTATTCCATGCTGAAAAAAAGAAGAAAGAGAACACAACGTTTCGGCCGTGGAGCCTTCTTCAGGTGTGCCTGAAGAAGCACACCTGAAGAAGGCTCCACGGCCGAAACGTTGTGTTCTCTTTCTTCTTTTTTTCAGCATGGAATAAACCTATTACTTGTTCCAGAGCAAGCATATTGCTTACTTCATCCAGAATGACCCATAAGTCCAGCATGGATTTTCTTAGCATCATTAACTGTACTCATAGAAAATATCACAATTGTGAGTATACAATGTAAACTTACTGTTGAAAAGAATATGGGTAGGACATCCCATTCTATAACTGGCAAAAATAAATGAGTGACTATACAGTACACCAACCCCTCACTATATAAATAAGTGCTCAATTTGTGAATATTCACTGTGAAAAAACTGCAGAATTGAAATGCAAAAAAAAGCAACCAAAAATACTTCTACAACTACTGCTATTGCTCTTTGGTAACAGCTACGGGTTGTACTAATCAAGCATGTCAGCTTTCCATTCAATTATAGAAAGAAAAATAAATCTCTCACTTTTCTTGAACTGCAACTTTTTTTCTACAATAACAACTACAAAGCCCTTATTACTATGTTTAAAGATCTTCCTTTAAGATAAAAAAAAAAATCACCAGAATTTTGGAAGGAATATAAAATCATTCAACTTTTGCAAACAGTTTCTTTTTCGGTCCTTAAAATGAGAAAAAACATGAAAATGTCACCATGTTAAACAATAAAATGGAAATATGGGCACTAGTGACAGATGGCCTTGCAGACTGAGAGATAATTATATCTGTAGAACTCACTTAGCATGAAGCCATATAGATTCATCTCAAGCAGAGTAGCTTCAGGACAATAAAAACCAAAGAGATTTTCTTTCACACTGTCACTCCCTTTCACAGCTCCTATAGCACTGTATTATAAGTGTACTGTAAAGACTTTGTGAAACATTAGTACTGTTATTATATTTTTTGGCCCTTCTAATATCTTTTAAATGTGCCCTTGCCTCTAACTGCTCTTGATATTATATTTCTAAGGAAAAGATTGAAACCTCTTGGTTTATTCGTGTCACTGTTTGTCTTTCAGTATCTGCTAACCAAGCGCTGACCAACATCCCAGGCAATACTGCTCGAAGATAAAACTCAGATCAAAAATGAAAATCAAATTTAAAAAAAAACCAAAATAAATCTGTTTTGGTGGACATTGAGAAACCTGTACTTCAACTGTAAAGCACGACAAGCGCTGGGGAGCTGCTTTCGATATTCCAATTTGTGGCTGTTATTTATTCAATTCATTTACCTATGCACTTGGCTGGAGCTCTGACATACCACATACCTCTCAATCAGGGCCAGCAGACAGAAGTCCAGCACTTTCCCATGAAAAAAAATTGAGCTTGCATGTTTACGAAGAATTCAAAAGAGTTTTAAAGACAGTCACTGTTTTATCTCCTCAGTTACATTTCTGCAAAAAAAAAGTCCTTATTTGCTCTGTATGTGCAAACACCTTAAAAATAGATGTGAAGTGTAAAATAATTAACAGGATGCCCAGCCTCTCACTTTGCTTCTCTGCTGATGCACTGAGCAGCCTGCTAGGGCAGACTGACATGATCTGAAGAGGAATGATGTGGGAGAGATTCGGCTCAAATATTAAACACATTTCCTCAGAAAAGGGAAGAAAATTGTTTGAGGAGGCAGTACAGTGCAATCATGCAATCTGGCTAATGGTAGATGAAGCCAGCTTGTACAAGGTAAGTGCCTTGATGGTATTACACACCTCCTCATAGCTTTTTTTTTTAAGCCAAAAGTGTTTGCATCATGATTTTAGGAAAATGAAGATGACAGAACTTTTCTTAAAATAAAATGATATATTGTGACCTATATAGATGATCACGGACTACACATACAGTGCCTTGCAAAAGTATTCAGACCCTTTAAAAGTTTTCAAATGTTGCTGGAGTACAAATGATACTTTCAAAGGGTCTGAATACTTTTGCAAGGCATCTGCTGTGTGCTTTCTGGGATTTGACCATGGTCTTACACAGACGCAGAGCAGTCACAGCATTACTCCCTAGACAGCATCACTGTGTCAAGACTCTTTCTCCACGGCAGAATACTATAGTTAGTTTCAAGGTGGTGGCATCACTTCTGTAACATGCTCACTGCATTGAGCCTTGTCAAATACACAGTGCAGCTAATGGGAGATCACACAGTCGGATTCTGCAACCTTACAGGTCATTCAGAGTGGAAATGTTTGAAAAGCAGAGCAGGTCTAATATCTTAGGATTGTGTTATCTGGAAATGGCTGATTAAAAATGGTTTTATGTTACATTTTTAGCATGTTATCGACAGTGGTGGCTTGAAAGCTCACATTGTTAAGCATTATGCACATGTCACAGTTAAGATCTCCAGGAGTTCCATTGCTCCTCGTTTATCTTCTTTTTCCTGTTCACACTGAGCTACGGCACCTTCAGATTTACAAATTAAGCACTGTGCACAGCTGATAAGGTGATTTAACCTGCTGTATAGCACACTTAGTGAAAATCACAAAAGAAAAACAAGGAAAGGAAACTATATGGCCCACCTATCAAGACATCAAGATAAAAATGTTTTTGTGCGATCTGCATGTTAAGAGTTTGGACAACTTCACCTCAGGAAGACTTTCCAGCAGTGTCACTGAGTCCCTTTTAAAAACAAAAATATTTTTACGAAAGTACTTGGGATTAGGTCATTGATGAGGGCTTGTTTCCTGAATTCATAATCACATTACATTTGTTGCTTTCTTTAAATGATGAGCTCTCATTATCACATTGTTCGTCACAGCTCTCACACCGGCAGAGGTCCTCCTGTGTTCTGTGTTTTTACATTAGAGATGAATTTTCATTAATTCCTAACCAGCCTCAAAGGCAATGTATTTGGGCAGGCAAAGAGCTTTGAAGTGACATCAAGAATGCCTCCGTAACATGTACATCAGAAGTTACATTGTCTGCAAGGATGCCTGGTACAGTGCCCTCCAAAAGTATTGTGACGTGTTTTTGAGAAAAATGTTCTTTTTTCTTTTAATAATTTTACATCACTGAAAGGTTAGATTTCTGTGTAAGATCAAGCTGATGAACAACAAAGACATTTTTTCATAGCCTTTTTTGCTCATCTTTACCAAGGGTGCCAATAATTCTGGAGGGCACTGTAGGTACAAAATGCCCAAAAATGACCAAATTATGAAAATGATTGGATATCTTGACATGAAACTTTGCCTCAAATCATTTCACCAAATGGGACAAAACTATGAGCCAAATTTCAGGAAAATGTCATTTCCCATGACCTGTGATGAATAAGATCTAGATCTATTGCTTGGCTGTTGCTCAATTAATGCTATATGTCCACTCTGTAAACTGCCAGGAATAAGGTTCCAGAATCTCTCCAATGCTAGGCCAGAAACTAGTACAGTCACACTCTGTAGTTTTAATCTCCACGTACAGACAATGGGATACTAAGGCAACAAAAGGTCACATAAATCTTCTTTGCATTTGGAAGGAATACAATCATCATTTTGCATTTTCAATTTGATTAAAATGTGTAAAACTTACCCTTTAGAGATCAACAGTAAAATTTACAAGAATAATTTCATGAAAACAAGTCCGTCAGTCTCCGAGAACACTTTCTAAAGAACTCCAAAGAATAGTTATCTGGTTTTGAGAAAAGGGATTATATACAGTAGGGGGAGAGGGACAATGGAATATACTTCATTTTTATAAACCATAAATGACCTCAAAACTGGTGTGACATTTTTTTGGTTGATGTGTTTTCTTGTAAATAATATTTTGCGCTACAGAGAGCACCATATACTTAATCCACTATGTACTGTACTGTACAAAGTATGAAGGTCGTGTTGTAAAATGTAGGGAAACTCAATATTCAAGCTTTTATAGATTGTGACACTGCAGTGATCATAAGATTACAACTTTACACATACTGTATATTAACAATACATTTCCATTCTTTATAGAGCCTGACACAGCCAAGACTAAGGTGAACAGAACCTTTAGAGTGTGCAGACTGTTTCTCTGTTACTCAAGCAAACTCAATTCATGTTCCAAAGGAACGGGTAAAGTTTTATTCCAGGTGTGTCCCCTGAAGAAAGCTCCACAGCCGAAATATTGTGTTTCTTTTCTTCTCTTTTCAGCATAGAATAAACCTTTACTTGTTCCTTTGCAGCCCAAGCATGGTGACGTAGCTACCTACTTGAACTCAGTTCATGTTCAATTACTGAAGCTACTAGATACATTATACACCAGCAGCAGGACATTTTCCACACAGTGTGATAAGGTTTCACAAGACAAAGAAGCTTGCCTTACGAATTTAATGCTTTCAGCTTACTTTACAAGGCTATCTTCTTATAAGGATAAGCACTTTGTAACACAACCCTGAACTCCATTAATCAGAGAAACAAAACTAATAGAAAAGTTTAAAAACTTTAGCAGACACCTAAATAAGACTTATACGTACACTAAGACATATTTATTTTATCTTCTTTGAAAAATTAGAAAAAGGCCTTAGTGTTCCTGTAACTAAGAAAAACTGCAGAGACGTAATTGAAGCCTTTCATTGTGGACTGCCTGAACACTGTAAACATTCTTGGGTATCCTGTGGTTTATATTTACCATTTCTCCTGCTTGTTTGTTTGGCTTCATGGTGATTTTAAATCTGATCAAGAAAAGGTCTCATGCAATAGTTTACTACACGTTAACTGTAAAAAAACAATGGCAACATGTTGCATGTATTTGTTTCTTTTAAGTCTGACAAAGTTCTGAAAGGTAGGTATAGCTTACACTTAAATTTCCAATAAATACACTTACATGCCACCTTCCAGGAAATTACATACATTTTCATCTCTTTTTGAGACTAAGTGGAATGTCTCTCTTATTATTTGTTGTTCTGTGTCTTCACTCTAAGGAAAAAAGCAGAAGATAATTAGAATAACGTCGTAAAAACAGTTGAGTTCACAGCAAACTTCTCAGGCCATGCTTCAGAAATGTTTAGTTTATAATGGACTTAACTGTGTTTTTGATATGAGGATTACTGGAAGGAAAAAAACAGGGGGACTCTTAGGTGCCCACTTGGGTACAGACACCTTTGCTGCAAAAACACCATTTCATTCATTCCCATGCAATCTGCAGAACAGCTGGAGGACTAACCTACTGTAGGCTTTTTAGAAGGCATCATAAAATTGAAGCGAAACTGTTAAAAAAAGTTAAATTTAAGGCTAAAAAGCAAAGGAGCAGGTAAAGGCTTATTCCATGCCAAATGGAAAAGAAAAGAGACTAAATGTTTTGGCTGTGGAGCCTTCTTATGGTGTGTCACCTTCAGGAATGACTCCACAGACAAAACGTTGTGCCTTTCCTTTATCTGTTCCTTTGCAGCTTACGCACCCTGATGCAGCTACCTACTAAAACTAAAGTACACAACTAAATCTTTGCAAATATTTTTTAATAATAGTTTTAATAGAATATATTCAGAAAGTTGAATTGAAAATCCTGCTTTCTCCCTAGCTAGTAGAGTACCACATAGATCTGTACTGGTGTAGTAAATTAAACTTGCCAAATCTGCAGAGTATTCTAAATAATAAAATGCTTCAAAGAGGTACAATTTAGATACAATGTATGACTGTACATACACGACATGGTACATACACGACAGAAGATGTTTAATGTAGGTAAGTGCAGTGCTTTGGCTGCAGGTAGAAAAAAACAAATTATACCTCCTACATGAGCTACTAGGGGACGCAACTTACAAAATGTCGATACATTGCTTACATCTTCTAGGCAAGCAATTATAAAAAGGCATACAAAACCTAAGGATATTTTAATTCTACACTTTTAATTAAATCAAGTAATGTTATGCTAAAATTATATAGCAATAATAAAGCTTAATTTAGAATATTGTGTGCAATTTTGGTCACCACATCATAGAAAAGAAATTGCTGCACTGGAATCCATCCAACAAAGAGCAGAGGACTTCTTCATAACCAACGGTTAAACACACACCAGAGGGTACAAGTGGAAACTAAATAGCAGTACATTTAAAACGGAGAACAGGAGGCACTTCTTTATCTAAAGGGTTTGGAACAAGAGGATGAGATCCTTGGATCAATTAGATAAGATAAAATCACATTATTGGCCATATACAATTTATTGTAGTAGGAATTTGTCTTTTCGCATATCCCAGCTTCCTCTCCATGAGACACACCGACACACAGACGGGGAGAGAGAAGCTTGGGGTCAGCCATTTATACGGCATCCCTGGAGAAGCTGGGGTTAAGGGCCTCACTCAGGGACCCAGCGAAGTAGAATTCCTCTACCGGCTGCAGGATTTGAACCGGCAACCTTCCAGCCACAGGCGCAGATCCTTAGCCACAGAGCAACTGCCCTGCCCCTGCTAAATACCTCTCAATTATCATCTTCTTTTATATATTCTTAAAGTGTCATACTTCGGGGAAACTCTACACAAAAAAAACATCCATAGAAAGCACGTATGCAGATTTTGTCTAAACAAAACAAAAAAAACATTCTGTTCCTTATCCAGTTTAATTACTGCACAACACATATTTTGATCAAAGACTTATGAAAATGTGTTTTAATGTAAATGCAAATGCTTCGGCAAAATTGCATAACACTGTGTACCTTACATTTTCGTACATGGAAAAATTACAGTGAAGGTAGATGCCAGCACTATCTTTGTAATTCATTAACATAAGATAGAAGCTGAGGCCATCTAAAGCCTATTTCCTCATTGCATGAACGCAGCTGTACTGAATCATGTGATGTGTAGCATGGGACTGAGAACACACAGGACACGTGGGGGAGGGGAACAACAATCTACCCACTCCACCCAGGCTCTGGACTAGTTCATATCCAAGTGCCACATTCAGGTTGACTAACAAATACTGTGCTTCAGCCAAACCTGTGACTGCTCCCTCTTATAAAGACAAAAATGACACAGTGTCAGGAGGCCAGACTCCGTCTTTCAGCTTTCTTTTTGTTCATTCTGTAACAATCTGCCACTCATCTACTACCGAGAAGTCACCTCTGTCACAGTGTCCGAATTCCTATAATTTAAATCACCTGATTCCTGCATTCTCCCTTTCCTTTCCTAAGATTACCACACAAATTAACACATCTAATGAAGGAACATCATTTAAAAGCAGCGACCATACAAACTACAGTTCTTACACAATAAACCACACCTCTTACATAACATATGAATTAATTTTAAACCACAAAAACAGGCTACGGGTTTTAAACTCAAATGATTTACTTCACATACACGTAACACTTAGCCTCCCTCCTTCACCATCTTTAAATAGTTTGACTCAGTATTCAGTAATAGTCAACTATCCAACAGTTATATTTTGTGTAGGACAGTAAGGTCTGGCAACACACCATCAACATAAAGTATCCCCAAGCATTATTGCATAAGCATAAATTACAGCTGAAGTAGTACACTGAAATGGCACAGGAAAAGAGGAGAATATTGTCCCTGATTTGCTAGTCTGGTCCAAAAAAACTAAGATGCATCTGTAAGTACTTTCTGTAAATTTTCAATACCCACAGTCCGGGTTTTTCATGAGCTAACATAAAAAATGTACAGGATGTCGGACGTATTACATCATTTTTTTATTTTTGGGCTTCATTCATATAGTAGGAAACTGGGCACAAATTTTGTCCCATGTTAAAATACTTTTTATTATCAGTTTATCTTCTTCTCAGTGGCTTACATTTAAAATAACTCTACAGGATAATCCTTCGGCACTTCTGAACACTAATTTCCTGTGAATGTAGTATCTCATTACGTTATTAACGTAAGATGGGTGTGCATACGTTTCACGCTGCCTGCATCACATGGAAGAGAAAAAAAGCACCACATGATTTTGGTGATGCTGACAAGATTAACACTGAATGTCAGCTGATGTAATCTGCAGATCTACTCCCTAAAACAAATACCTATTTATTCATGTTAAACATTATAAAAAATGTTAAATGCATCTAATAACTGAAGAAAAAAAATGTTTGCATTTCTGTACTGAACTGTGCAACAAGGAACTCCGACACTAGAGTCAAGAATTTACTAAGTAACCATTCGTTTTGTTTACAAAATACCTAAATGGACAACACGTGTACAGTATATGTTTTTTTGTTATTTTAATGTTTATCAATAAATTACAGCAAAAAAAGAACAGATAGTTAAAATTAAAACCTTTGTATTCACAGCTTTTTGTGCCTCTGACATTGAGCTGAAAAGACTTAAAATAGTTACTTCACTGGGGAAATACTTTTGGTAAACTAAATCTTAAAGCATACCTTGTTTAAAAACCTCAACATGCTTGCATGAGTAAATGACACATCACAGATTAGGCTAAAGCAGCCAAAACAAAATCTTGGTTACTTTAACTCTTTTAATCGGTTTGACTATCAAGGATATATTCCTCAAAGTTCAAACAAATCCTACTTCTAAAATGAATTTGAATGTATTATTGCATTATAAATGGATAATGTATTATAAAATAGATTGTTTTCAAAGATGACTACAATAGCATAAATTGACACAGACAGACTGTATATATTTTCAAACCTTTAGGATTATAGGTGAGATATGCTATACTGTACATCTAATGTAACTGAAACTTGCCAAAATCATCTGCTTACAATGCATCAACTGTTCCATTTACTGTACTAGCCACTACAATGTTAAATTACAACCACCTGTCTTACTGCAGAGATTGCAAAGCACATCAGAAAGTTTCAAGACTGCATTATGAAAGAAAGAGAAATGTCATTAGAGACTTGCGCTGGGACAGCTGTAGAAGAGACTGACTTCAAACCACATGAATGCTTCACTGCTGCCTTTACAGAGGACAATGCATTGTCCCTTAACACACTATTTGACTGGATCAAGTACAACTTGGTATGCACAATTAAAAAGCTTCATATTTATCTAGTAATTTAGCTATGTGTAGTGAAATAACCATGTACAAATCCATTACTAGATTTACAAAACCACTTTTTTTGTGAAGAAATTACTAAGGCATCTATAGAAATGAAGATTGCACAATTCAGTATTCCCATCCAAAGAAGTCTGCAAAGCTCTCCAAAACAGCTTCAATCCAGCAGTTTATATTGGTCAGCATTCTATTTAGAAGCCTATATATATTTTATATGTATAAAGAACCCAAGTTTATGTGTATATTTAAAGCCAATAGTTGAGACTATTTCAATTTAACAGATAATTTGCTAAATAAATTTAGCCTTTATTTGGAATCAAATCATGTTCCCTGCATCCCTCAGGGGTCTGAAGTCTTTTAACAGATCAGTTGCTTAATTAATCAATAAAGTACATGTGATCTATAAAACTAACTGGATTATTGCTCTCCAGGAGCAAAACAGTATTATTCTAGTGGTGCTCAGAAGCTGACAGCTCCAGATTGTCTTGAATCTGATGGCTTTCATGCTGATAGCATATTCAAATTAACTCGCCAGCACTTAAATTGAACATTTTTTGGAAAATATACCAGTGCAGTATTGAGCTAGAGTGAAATAGAAAAAGGACTGTATCAATAAAATAAAAAAAACAACTCCTAAGCAAAGTGGTTTACTTGATTTGCCAGGTACTAATGTAGTTTGTAACAGCGGACAGAAAAAAACACGTACAGTACTGACACAAAAAATGAAAAACATTCCGTTTTCAGCGTGATCATAAGTTTATATTTCTATGTAAAACATTCCCGTCAGGGACTTCATTGAAAACTTCAGCTCCAGTCACACATTGATGACAGTACACACATTCAGCTATACTCACATAGTGTTCGTAAAATTTGGAAAGCCGGGGTTTGCCATGGTTGTTAAATATTAGGATGGCTTTGATCATGGTTTCACCAAAAACGTATCAGAAGCTGCGTTCTGACGGTCAGTCTGAGAACTAGGAGATAACAACTACTCAGATTCCGTTTTATTAAAGACCCAATTCCACCTGAACATCAGCTGCAAATCCTCCCCCGAATCACAAAGCGGAAACATTCCACGTCAAAGCATTCATTCCTCATCGCCGCTACAGAAGCCGAAGTAGGTCAAACTGTGTGGCTGGGCATAAATCTGATCGACACAGACGAGCGATGAATTAGACGTTTATTTTTTTCCAACGTTTATTGAACATCAAATAACACAAACAAAGGAGAAAAGAAATCCCAAAAAAGTTACTTGATTAAAAAAACAGATCAATTTTAGACTATTTTAAATCTGAACACGTTCAGTTAAAAATGTTACATACTGTACATCAATTTGTTTTGACCTTGTTATTTTTTTTAAGTTTTCAACAGTTTAAAAAAATAGACGTTTATGGATTGAAACGTTTAGAAGGAACAACGTCAGAAATATCACCAATTAGGGAAGGCGGTTCTTCCCATCAATCTTACTTGGTTCTATTTCTCTAATCCCACAGCCAATACTGAAATGTCAAACCTAACCAGTGTTTCTAGGAGGTGGGAAGATATCAGAACACCTGTAGAAAACCCACATGAATATGAGTAGAACAAGCAAATACCGTACAGATGGTGCACCAGTCTGGAAGAGAACATAAAATGCTATGAGGCAATAATGATAAAGGCCATGCCAGTATGTTATACTCTGATTAAAATTAATATAGATGATAGCTGTTTTCTTGTGAAAGTAGCCCTGAAACCCTTCAGCATTTGTTTTGCTTATGTCCTATTGTAAAAACCTTCTGGATTGATTTGCAGACTTATTAAAATATTAAAATAAAGGCTAATTTCGATATTATTTTTAAAGAAATAGATGTTATGTTGAACTTCAATCCCATTGGAAATAAAATGAAAATTATGTTTGAAATGGACTTAATTATTATACTGGCATGCTATTATATACATAAAGTGAAATGGTCTGGGAAGAGTATTTTAAAATAGAGATAAGGGTGTATTTGCAGACTGTAATATCAGTGTAATATTTAATATCAAATAAAAATAATAATAACTGTATAAAAATAATAGTTATAAGTTGTTTTGAAATACTGTAAATTAGAATCAAGAATTATAAGAAAAAGTCATATATGAAAGAATTAAATATCCACATGTTCATGTTACATGTTCCACAAAGTATTAGCCTGTTTCTAATCTGAACAAATTTATAATAGGGACATAGGATAAACATTGTGTTTTAGGGGACCATACTTGTAAGATGTCTGGGGGCAAAATCCCATGAAAAAAACAGGTATCCTATTTTTGTGAAATACTGTTGCAAAAAGTTCTACACAGTTTCACCTGTGCACTTTAGGAAAAGGAAGATTCACTAATGCAAAATGAAAAAAATATCCAGTACTTGTTCTCTGGCTATTCAACTCTATTTTACAGGTATTTGATTTAATAAAATGATAAAACACTTTAGAAAAAGGACATCCAAAATATGTTGACATACAAGCTGTTAAAAATTAAACAACTGGAAAGCATAACTTAATTGCTTGCAATGTACACAATTTTTATCTAGTGTAATCAAAAGCATTTTTATAAATATTTAGGATATTTTATAAATATTTAAGATTATAAAAGGGCCTGATCTTATATCATTTCTTATGATTGCAATACATTAGGTATAAAAGTACACTCTGTAATGTTCAGTTCCTTTAAAGAGTCTTGCTTCTTCCCTGGAGTGTTAAATCATAACTACAGTACGTTTCAAAACAGCACTGAAAATAGTAGCTCGATCAGTAGGGCCACTTGAGTCACACTTCAGTCTTACTGGAAGAGGTCCACATCCTCATGACTAGTGAAAAGTATCATTGAGCTAAACTTGTTTAATCAGAAGAATAAGGGGTGTTCCTATTGACTGATCGTCAATGTAAAGGAAGAAAATGTGATTGCGCAGCATGGATATGGATTGATTACATGGAATTTCCATAACCAACTCAAACAAGGACTGATAACACCACAAAATGATAACATACTCCATCCATCCATTTTCTTACTATTGACTGCTAGTGGCCATATCAACCTGCAACTCACAACTGGCAACCCATTGAAGCTAAGCAGGTGTGAGCCTGGTCAGTACATGGTGTTGTTATTGCTTGAGATACAAGCTAACTAAGTTTACTCCATCATAGAGAATTTACTTGCTGTGTTTACTTGCTAAAATGTTGTCATGTGTTCACACTCTCTTTTTGGCACTATTTATGTATTATAACTGTAAAGCAAAACCAGTTTTGTAATAGAAAATTACACTCAGGGATTGTTTTTCTGAATATGACGTAAAGAGAATCAAACACCCAGAAAAGGATCAAACTTCCATGTTTTAAAGTCATGTTTTAAACCTCTTTGTGCAATAAGACTTTTTTCTATACAAGTACAATATCGGAATGCATTTTTAAAAAAGAAATTTCAATATATTTTAGTTATTTTTTAATAACTATAATTACTTTTGTGGGACTTGGGGCAGTTTCAATATCAACCATAATTTCATCACACCCTGTCACAGATATTCTGGCTGTGCTAGGGCCGTTTAGCCAGTAATTCCAGCAATTTAGGGATTTTTCTCTTCAGAAAATGTTTAGCACAGAAATACTTAGCGTGCAAAGTAGAAGAATATAATGACAGTAAGGATTTTTCCTCCAGTTTTAAAGTGGTTGTGTTCGAAGTCAGGGTATTTGAGAAAATTCCGTTTAAGTGAGTATATTTGGGCAGGTAATCATTAAATTAGTTTAATTTAAAACAATCGGGGTTGTGCGTCAAACAACATGGCGACCTCATCCTTGTCTTAATTTCGATCACCCTTTCAAAATCTACGCAGGTTTGAAAAGCTGCTGACGAGAACCGATTTTCTTCTTTTCTCCACTAGATGAGGCTAATAGATTTTAAAATGGTTTATTAAAAGGGAAATAATAGTGGACAATGCGAAACAAGATGACATTGATAATGGGACGAGCCCGTTAAAAGCTAATAAACATCACTTCAAATTCATTTGTTGGAGGTATATATTTTTAAATCGTACTTTCCCAGAGCATTAAGATGTGAAATTCGGGGCATTGTAATAAAACGAATTTAGTATATCTCTATTGTGTATATTCATGAAATCATGGCGATGAAATTGCGTGTAAAAAAGAGGAGGAGGTTGTTGATAAACTACATGTCCCCCTGTCACATTTTCCTATTTCAAAAACAATTTTAAAATGCATATTTAAGCACCTCCTAAAACTGTTTGTCTTCGAAATGAAAATGCGGGGAATGGGAAAACACTCGAGCCAAAGACCGCAGATTATATGTAATTTTAACCGAGTACAATTTAGAACAGCGATTTTCAATTCAGGCTTCCATTACCCTGTGTCAGCTGATTTTTAAGTTCCATCCTTAACTGAAATTACTAAAAATTGATGGCTTAGAGCTTTATTTCATTGCTAAAAATGCCTTCAATTTGCTCACTATGTTTTACAATATATGTGAAATAAACTTTACTGGCCATTCCAGAACTGAAAATAATTTCAAAGGCATTAACTAGTACATCCACCCACTTTTTAACAGTTTTATCTACAGATAACACGGTCGCAGGGGAGACAGAGCCTACCCGGCAAGCCATGGGCGCAAGGTGGGAAGCATCTTGGACAGGATGCCAGTCCATCGCAGGGCAGACAGAAATGCAAACATGCACACAGCCACATCAGGCCATTTTCCAGAAAAAAAAGTACATTAGTGCTTAAATTTGGGGATTCAATTAAAGACTTAAGAGCTCAAGTAGAAAAACCACCAGCTGCTGAAGTAAAGAGAATCAGAACTAGGAAGGCCTAATGTCTCAAGATTGGTACTTCCCAGTGTAAACAATAAATATGATAAACTGATATATTTTAACCTTTCCTTACCACACTTCAATAATGGTTCCCTTTGCCACCAAATGACTTGCTCTGAAATTCATATGAGTAAGTACAGTTTGTTATAAGCAAGTAGCAAAAGCATACTAAAAATATAAGATGGAAAAACTATTTCAGTGTTTATGTTAAAACGCAATTTTATCTTGTAGACAATGTGTAAAAGAAATAGTAAATGTTAGGATCAGTGTTCTGGAAATTTACTTTTAAAAAGTAATCCATTACAGGTACAGGATACTTGTGTGAAGGATTGTTTTTTAACAAGAAATCGGGGAAAAGTTATTTTAAGAAGTATTGAATTGTTTTACATAGTAATTATTTGCAAAGGAACAAGTAATAGGTTTATTCCATGCTGAAAAAAAAGAAGAAAGAACACAACGTTTTGGCCGTGGAGCCTTCTTCAGGTG